ATCCATATTTCTAGTTTTTGTTCTTCCTTATTTGCATATGAGGAATATGTACTTCCTGACCTACTCTATACTCAATGTATATTCTAACCATGAAATTAATCTATTTTCTATTCAACTCTAATATGTCTAGTAAAGCTCATCTTCATCTTCTGTACGATAAACTATTCCATGTATATTCATGTACACTATCCCAGAATATTTCATAGAGCTCTCTTACATTATTTCTAAAACTTTTAATTGCATGAAATAAACCAAAGATAGCAGCAGCAGTAACAGAAGTCTTTGGGAATTGAAGCATTAAGAAGGTCAGGGTTGATTAGGTTATCTTGCCTGTGAATACAGCCACAAATTTCAAGTGACTTAGGCAATAGCAAATGCTATTAGAAATGCTAAGTCAGAATTTCACATCACTCCCAGTCGTAATCAGTCCTAACCTCTAGTGTATAAAACTTTCAATTTTTTTAACAGCTTTTGCTTGTTAGACATAACATAACCTTACACTTATTAAAAACAATCACTGAATCTAACTTTGAACATGAAGAAAATCTAGAAGTGGCCATGGCCTGTGTTTTAAGATTTCTAAATATTTTAGCATCATTAGATACATACTGTTGACTATATGTATAGCTTATGCCAAATTAAATTTCTAAATAATAATAATACAGCTAGTACCATTTTCATTTGCTGTGACACAACTCACCCAAGGAGACACAATGAGATTTGAGACACACATAAAATATTAAATATTTATATATTTATTCATTATCCTTAAACCATAACATGAAATTTCTCACAAAATGCACTATGACTATGCAAGAATAGACTATGAAGATGGTTTGGCACTGCTAGGATCTCATATGGACAATGAGGTAAGAATAACAGCATACTCTTACTACCTGCTACTCACTATGATGTACCTATCTGATTTAGCCAAACTGGCTTTCTACCAGGGGAAGCTCATGACAAGATTTCACTTTACAGGGGGTGAAAGGATGCTGAAGGTGCTGTCACACACTGAAATAATTGTCAATGACATGCTTTCTCACAATAATTCAACTGTGGCTGTGATCTCTCTATGGTGGTCTATCTTTTGCACAAAAGATAATCGCAAAGCACTATATCATGTAATAAATAGAAAGACAATAGGTCTTTTGGAATAAGTTAAGGTATCATTCCTGGTTTTTCTTATACTTAGCAGTTCTCCCTGGAAATATGAACCCTGAATTGATACGTTTTATTTTCCACCTTCCAGTCTGTTTTGTCTTTTTTATTGAATTTCATTAGAGTAATGAGGATGGTTTTGTAACTCTTGTACGGTGTACAAAGGAATCTTTCCATGACCAGTCAAGTTTTGTGGCAGAACTTGTTACAACACCTTGAGATGTTTTAGTGTAGGAAGTGAGAAAGTGAAAGAAAATTTGCATTTAGGGAAAACATAAAGACTTTCTTAAGATTTTTGTGTGTTTAAAGGGTTTTTATAAAGGTTTTCATAAAAAAAACATTTTTATGAAAATATCTTGTTATGCTTTTTAAAGGGTGCAAAGGCTAAACTATTGGTTTCGGTGTCAACGTTTCTTGTGAAGAAGTTAGTTTCCATTATTCGTTTGTAAAGCATCATGATATATTTTCAACTCACTTTTGACAGTTCTTATTACTCTTTATCCATTATTTGGGTTTTGTGTGCATTTTCTGATGAGGTACAAGCTGGCCACTTTTGGGAAGGTTATGGAGCAAATCTCCCTAGAAGCCACTTCCAGGGCACATAAAGAAGATGGTGATTGGGAAGAGCCAGTATAACTTTGTCAAAGTCAAATGACATCTGGCCAAACTTGTTGCCTTGTGTGATGAGATGACTGGCTCCATGGATGAGGGGAGAACAGTGAATGTTGTCTTTACCAAGGCTTTCTGCAAGATTTTTCATTTAGTCCTAGAGAAAAGGGTGAGATCTGAATTGGGTAAGTGGATTATACATTGCATAGAAAAATGGCTGGACTGCAAGGCTTAGAAGTTTGTGATCAGTCATACAAAGTCCAAGTGGCATTCCATTACTCTGAATTGAATAACTTCAGGCCACAAGTCAGGCTTGGGGAAGAGAGAGAGCAGTTTTGCAGAAAAGACCTATGGGTGAATAAGGCCACACAGCTCAGTCAGCAGGTTGAGGGAAATTATTATTCCCCTCTGGACTTTTGAGACTGCATCTGGTCTGGGGCATCTTGGTACAAGAAAGACACTGACAGACTTTACTGAAGGCCCACCAAGTTGGACTGGAGCGGATGGCATATGAGAAGAGGTTGAGAGAGCTGGGTCTCATCACCCATAAGAAGGGAAGGTTCATAGGAGAATTTTTTGCTATCTACAGCTACCTAATCAAAAGATATGGAGAAAACAAAGCCCGCTTCTTCTTGGAGATGCAGAGTAACAGGACAAGAGGGAACAGGTTCCTCAGCAATGGAAACTCCAGCTAGATATTATAGAAAAAAAACTAAAGTGAGGGTAGTAAAACACCAGAATAAGTTTTGTGCCTGCAGGTACTCAGAAGCTGATTAGACAGGACCTTAGGCAACCTTAAACAGTTGTCCATGCTTTGAGCAGGAGGTTGGGCCAGATGTCCCCTAGGAGGTCCAACCTACATTATTCTACTAGTCTCTGAGTAACTTCAATGAATTTTCTTTCATAGGTGGATTAATATCTTAATTCTGAAGGGTCTGAAACAAATCTAATCTATGTAATTTTTCTGTCAAAAACCATAAAGGTATTTTAGCATATTTGCATGTATGTAGTCTCTTTTACTTCCATTATTTTTAAATAGAAGTCTCAATAATGCTGACAATGTGTAGTATAATGTGATAGCATTATGTTATCAGGTATCTGGATGATATATAAAACTTTGATCCAATTCTTCTAAAGAAAGACACTATAACATAAATATATAATTTGTACCTGAAAATAATGTGTTCTAGGTTTAGAACAAATTATTTTAAACTCATTTACTAAACTGTTGTCTTGGTTGATCTTGGAATGTTTTATAATTAAAATATGATTTATTATATCAAAATTAAAAAGGTTCAATGCATAGATGATTAGCAAACAGGAAAAAGTAATTTTGGCCAATCAATTTTAAAACTTGCTTTATAATGTAACAAATCTCCTGTTAATATAACTGCAGATGGGTGAGTTTTCTACACTGATAATTATCATCACCACTGGGACAGAGACCCATTATATACATAAGATGTGTTACCTGTGTCACTCCAAGATTTTTAAATTAACTGAATACTGATTTTAACCTGTTACATTAAAAAAAAACCACCAGAATTTCCATGGATATAGGTCTAAGTATTATATTTAGCTTCAATCTAATTCTGTAAAATAATTTTCAAAATGAGATGTAAAATAAACTGCATAGTACCTAAACACTACAACAGTCACAAAAAATGTGTAAGAAGTACATAGCTGCTGAATAATCAGAATCTATTTAAAGTTTAGTTCTTATTATTTCTCATATTTATCCAGCATAGTGTCAAAAAGTATAGAAGCAGGAGAGCTCCCTGATCTATAGTTTTGTTGGTGTTTAAAATACCGGGTAAAAGATCAAAGCTCAGACCATAAATCCTATCAGTCCTCAAAAGATATTTTTAATTATACAGGGTTTTGTAAGTCTTAATAACATCTAAAAGCTTATTATAATTAATTGCTTACAGCAGCAAGGAGTCATTATATTCCCTTTCCTAGATTTTCTTTATACTTTCATGACACGTAACTGAATAGAACATCTAACTAAAGCTATGGCTAAACACAAAATAATTTTTGATTTGGCATAGGTTCCTTAAATTCATTTAACTTTGAACCTTAATAGTTAACCCAGAATGACACAAAACCCACAGTGTTTCACACCTTTATTACCAAAGAAAAATAAATACTACTATAAATTACTTAAATATGGTCAACTTTCTGAGTTTATTTTTGAATTTGGAAAAGTTAAATTTATTACTGTGAGACCACTGAACTGGTTCTACACAAACACAGCTCAACCCTGCAGTCAATGGTCTTGGGTGCTGTGCTACACAAATGTCTCTCCTGCTTTCCCAAACATCTCAAATAGAGAAGCAACTCAGCTGCAGTAATGAGCCCAAGCAAATCAGCCAAGATAGACCCCACGAGGAACTAAGTTCTTTACTCATGAGTAATGTCTCTCACGTGCTCCCTGCATGTGTAGTTTTGAGGCAATTCTTAACTAATTTGGATACATCGTCTTCTGAACATCGAGTTTCTAGACATAACTGGATTTCTGAATTCATGTAAGCAATGCTCAAAGTGACACCTCCTAATTGTACAAAGTTTCATTCACACAAAAGTCTTTCCAGCATAGGACACATGAGGAATCCAGTGGAAAGACCCTCCTAATTAGCATGAGTACGTACAGTTATCATCAGTGGATTTTATCTTTATTCTGCATTAGTGAAGGATCTACTTCTTTTAAGTTACCCTAGTTGTAAAGGAAACACTGTGCTTATGTAGTAAACACTAAAAACATGTCTGAAATTTGGGAGGTTTTCCTTTTAAAACTTTTTAAGAGGCAGGCTCCTTTATGTAGTTAGAAATATCTCATTCTGCCTTTTTATTCTGTTTATGTGTTTTTAAAATTTGAGATACCTACATTTTCTCAGCAATTATTTAAAAGCATATTGTACGAACAATAAATTACATGGTGTCATCTTCTTTTAGTGCTAAATAGGAGAAACATGCTTGGCAGGGGTGAGATTTGCTTGTTTTGAAAAGTCAGTACGATTGTCTACAGAAGATAGGTAAAGTGAAGTGACCCAAAGTGCATTACAGCTATTGGTCATACATTCCTATGGATTTCTCTGGACACATGTAAATGCTGTAAGTACAGGACATACTCCAGAAGCAAATAAAAAATATAGATGCTCTGCTGCATCATAAGGCACAGCTAAGTAAGTTAAAGAGTGTATTTAGTAAGTTTTTTTTCCATACTGTACCTTTTCATCCAAAGCCTTGTGGTGCTCAAACAGAGATTTCAGAGCTTTGAGGACCTCAACTTCACTGGAAACTCCTGAGGGAGATTGTGCTTGCCGTTTCACTACTGTCATCCTCAGTGACCTTTCGTGTCTTGAGACAAGGCACTCCAAATGTTCCAGTAACAGCTATTGGATTTGATATAAAAGGATATTAATTTTTGTGCACTTAAATGCCATGGGAATTCTAACTATAAAGCACATGGTACCAAATGGCAATTTTCTTTGCAACCTCATTGTAGGAGAGACTAATGGAATTACTGGCAACATTTCATGATTCTAAATCAGATGGAATAAATAGAAAAACAGGAAATCTACTTATAATTTAATTTAAAACTCTGCAATGAAAAGCGAGAACAAGAAATCACTCAGCATAGGGTCACCATCTAACTAAATTAAGTACATATTTACAATATTATTTGTGATAGTAATTGACGAGCATTAACAACCAAATAACAACCAAAGCCAGTCTAAACCATCATTCAAAAATAATAAAGAAGTTTATAATTAATTGACCTTAACTGTAATATATTTTCAATTTCTACTGGAAGTTACTTAACAAAATATGTAAAAGTAAACAGTATATTTTATTACATTTTTAAGGCTATTCATTCTAAATGCCACAGCTAATGGTGTTTCTCACTGGCACGTGCACTTAAATGTTCATTGTCTCTATTGTATTACAGACATGACGGAAGACAAAAAGGTCCATAAAAAGAAATTTCAGGCTATTATAAATATCTGTAAAATAACCTTAAAATAGCCTATTGTTAACCTACTATTATTGTAAAAACACATTATAATTATTTTTCATTATTACTCTGAGGTTACATGAAAAATTAAAATGATAGTTGATGTCATATAGAAAATTCCCCATTTGTCTATACTTTCATTGCTGTTCTTACTGTCTGAACACAAAAGAGAATTGATTAACTGTAAGGTTAAAGCAGGGCAACTAAATTAATGAATCACAATGCATGTTAAATGTATTGTAACTACAACATATATCTAAGTCATTGAAGTGGAAATTTGAAAGTGATATGGATAGTTGTTTATTATTTCTCCTTCAATGTGTTCTTAAGCTAGCTATTATTAGTTATATATTTATCTGTAATATATAGTTATATTCAGTCACATAATGACTTTATTGTTACATGAATTGATAGGGACCTCTGCATCACAGAGCCATCAGGAACTTGGTATGGTGCTTTGGTAAGATGGTAACTCAGTTCTTAAAGACACACTTAATTGCTATCACACATAGAACTGAATTTCTGAATTTTGATCTAAATTTGTATATCATCATAATTTTTATAGGCCACCAAGTTTATCTAGGAGATGGTAAGGAGGAAAGTAAGTCAATAGCTGATTTCTAATGCTACAGCCCACTCGCTGCCCCATCTCTGCAAAGAGACTGTGTGACTGCAAAAATTCCTTTCTCTCTGCACCTAGACTCTGCCCCATTCTGTTGTCCTGGGGTAGCCAGGCTCTGACTCTAATCTATGCTGTGGACTCAAATTTCTCCACAGTCATTTCCACTTGCTGGCTGATCCTGTTAAAGCCTGGCTCATCCTGTTCTGTTGTCTGTCTTGTATGCCTTTATGCAGAAACTTTCAGTGCATCATAGCTACCTCAGTAACAGTTTAAATGTGGTCAAAATGCTACAAATCTCTGAAGAAATCGTGAGAAAAAAGGAAAATATTGAACCACAGTTGAGCTTTTAGCATGGCTTTTCCTTTTGTAAGCCTGTAGCTGTCTGAAGCTCAAGCTGGCATCCACTAAAACAGCCCAGAATAACAAAATCTCAATAGCTATTTTTTGGCCTAACACTGAGCAAATTTATTATATTTAATGCTCTACTACCTAGAACAACTTATGTTCCAGACAAACACAGCAAAGGAGAGTTCTGAGAGCCTGTTTGCAAGTCTTAGTTGGAAGCAAAACCAAGAAAATCTGGTTTAGGGGAAAAGAAAAATGGTGGCAACACAGAATTCTTGACAGGGAAAAAACTTCCATGACAGAAGGAATTATGCATATCCTATAGCACAGAGATAAATAAACAACATGGGGCAAAAAAAAAATACACATCCAGAACTGTTTTAGAATGGATACAGACACACAATCTCAAGAGGGAATTTGAAGTCAGGATGGACAGAAGAAAGACAAGATCCTTGTTAAGGAAGAACGGAGATCAAAGAGAGTGATGAAGAGAGAAAAAAATGTTACACAAGGTTTCCAAGTATAAAAAGACAACAGAGTGGTGGGAATTCAGAATTTCTAATGGGGTGATCATGGTGTTTACTATATGAACAGTGCAGCACCCTAGTCTTTTGTAGAACAGTGGGTAACAGGTTAAGTTGCTGCTATATTAGAAACGTGCATAATGTAGAAAACTAAACCTATAAAAGTCATCCACTAATTTTGCCTTCAGCTTAGAATTAGAATTTTATGACAAAACCGTATTTCAGTGTTGGCATATATGTCATAGTCATCAAATAAATCAAGTGCAAAATATTGTGTTGCCTATTTTACTGTATGAAGACAGATGAGCTGATGTCACACCTAAGTGTCAAAATACTGATGAAGAATTACTGCACTACTTGTGAACATTTCATGCTTTTTCTTTCATTTCTTATTCACTTGAATTTTACTCAGTTTGGTTAATTTTTTGGTTAATTTTCTGGAAACTACCTGTGAACACTGGAATTTTCCTTACTCTCAGTCCTAAGGATGCTCAAGGAAGCATGCTCACATAGGCTTCGGGCTTGTAAATATTTTTTTTTTCTTTTCAGCAGAAGTCAACAATATTTGTCCACAAATTCTGTGAGCACTGCTCACAGCAAATTCAGCTGAGCAAAAGTATTATTAACCAAGTCTCCCAGTGCCTTATTACTCCCAGGCAGCACTGCCAAGTCCACCACTAAACCATGTCCCTAAGTGCCACATCTACACATCTTTTACATACCTCCAGGGATGGCAACTCAACTACTTCCCTGGGCAGCCTGTTTCAATGCTTGTTGTCCCTTGCAGTGAAGAAACTTTTCCCAATATCCAGTCTAAACCTCCCATGGTGCAACTTGAGGCCATTTCCTCTTGTCCTGTCATTTGTTACTTGGGAGAACAAACCAACACAAACCTTGCTCCATCCTCCTTTCAAGTAGTTGTAGAGAGTGATAAAGTCTCCCCTGAGCCTCCTCTTCTCAAGACTAATAACTCCAGTACCCTCAGCTGCTCCTCATAAGGCTTGTGCTCTAGACCCTTCACCAGCTTTGTTGCCCTTGGACTATGCAATGATACTGCTATTTTATCCAACTTTTGCCCCAACTACAATTATACGAAAGAAAAAAAAAAAGTCCTCCCTACTTCTCTGGGAAGAGCAAACCTAACTACACTGAGAGAACTATGCAGTGTCCCATTGCTACAGTGATGGAGGAAATTGACATTGAAGGTAACGCATCTAAGCAATGCAGTTTAATGACTAAAGGAAATTACAATAACTTGTGTGCATGAAGGAATGTTAAGGACATCCCCCACCCCCAGTAATTCAAGAATTACTGTTCCAAATATTTGTGAGAACACCACAAAATTTCATGTTGAAATAACATTCTAACAATATTGGTAGTTCATTTAAACTGCAAAAGAATTGTTAGAAACAGCTTTAGGTATTCTAGTAAGTTGCAATTAAACTCTGGCATTAATAAAGATCATGGACTGCTGAGCATTTTCTGCTCCCTCACACTGTGTCAAGCTGCTACAGTTGTCAAGCACTCAGAGGGACAGGCAGCTTGCAGAGAAAAGAAGATTAAGATCAACTGTAGCAGGTGGGACAGAATCACCCACGCTTCACTGCTATGCTTCTCTTACTGGAAAGCATAAGCTTGACAATGAATTGTGAAATAACCTGACAAGGGAATTTAACTCTTAGGTTGGGCAAATTTTATGATTCTCAAGATGCCATGCTGATAATTTTGTCATAGCTAAATGAGATGAAGTTTTCTGGAGACCTGGACTTTTAATGATCATAAAGAATGTTTAAAATAATCGTTTGAAGATTGAAAAATGCTCTAATGCATATTATGTGAGTGAATGAAGCATCTTTAAACTGTTAAGTAGAACTAAATCAACAATAATAGAGAAAATTGTTAGATTACACTCAGCTTCCTGTATTTCTCAAATAACTTCCAAAGCACTTACAGAAGTGACTGATTTTTGTGAAATGGAAATTCATAGTTAAATGTAATGATGTAAACTACATCTACCTATGTCACCTACCTATATTATACTATAACATCATTACTACATGGACACTGGTTTACATACGGCATATCAAAAAAGTTAAAACATTCTTTTTTAGGAATAATGACTCAGTTATTTGAAATTAGAATTCTGTAGAGTTTAGAGTAATACAAAGTAGAGTTTGCATTACTACAGGACCTGGATTTTAATCAATATAAATGAAGAAATTAAAGAATCAGGAGTGGGCGATGGACAGAAAAGGCGGCATGAACACAGGGAGAAAAATCAAAAGATAAGGGATTTACTAAAATGATATGGACTTAGCTTAAGGGATTCCTTAGAGGAATAGGGCAACCCTCTAAGAAGACAATTCTCTTTCAAGGTCCAGCTTCAAATTTTTCACCGGCATAGGCAAAAATTTAATTTGCTTCCAATCTATATTTAGAATGCACATTGTTCACTCAATCTCCATCTCTGGTGCAAGCAAAGAAGACAAGTAAAACAAGCAGACATGGAGCTGAAGATTATCTCTAAAACTAGTCACAAAAATCAGTCATTTTCTTCTACATTGTTCCAGTGATGGAAACCACTTTGCACTTGTGGTCAGCTAGGGTGACCTCAAATAGCTATACTGGTAAATTACTGGTAAAAATCTTTCTTTGAAAACCTGAAGTTACAGCCTAATGGCAGCATATGTCCCATGTCTGTCTTATTGTACATTCAAAACAAAAAACAAAAAGTACCAGCAACCTAAAAACTTCATGGAAACAAACATATGTGAAGCAAAAGTATGAAAGAAAATGTAATAGGCAGGAGAATGGTACAAAGTAATAGAAACAAAGAAAGGGGGTTTTATGAGAATAATGCAAATATAATAACTATTAGATTAGACA